CACTCCAGCCCAGTACTCCTCTCCAGCCCAGCACTCCAGCCCAGCAATACCTACAAATATTTTTTGTTCTCATAGACGTCATGCAGCTTCAGGACATGTGGGTGTTCGATGAGTTTCAGGATGGCGATCTCGCGCTCCACCTGCCAAGTGGATGATTATCAGGCCACCTTCAAAGCCAGGGCTTGACCAGCAGCTCTCCTCACCAGAGCACTGCCTGTCCACTCACTATCTGACCTTGCTTTGGGGGTAGTAGACTAGGGAAAAGGGTGCCCTTGGCCTGGTCCCCACTGCATGTGGCTATGACTTGCTCCAGGCGAGCCCGGGGTGAGCAGCCAGGACAGACCTACCTGGGCAGCTGTAGCCTGGGCAGGGCTGCAGGTGGGTACGCAGCCACCTGTGTGCCAGCTCATGTATACATGTGCAGCACAGCAGGCTGTGAGAAGAATGTCCTGGCCTCCCCCACCCCTTCACAGGGAGCCCAGAGCCTGTCCCAGGGCCCAGGGAGATCAGAAGTGGCCCCTGAGAGCATGGTGGACAGAGGACACCACAGGCCTGCTTCTGAGAGACAGGCAGGGCCTCATCCTCCTCTACATCTGCTCTGCCCTGCGGAAGCTGGCAGAGAGGAGTCACCCAGGCAGGAGGGTGGCAGCTCAGTGCCCCTCATTGCATCTGCCCCTGGCTCTTCTCCCCCCGTGGTGCCAGGCCTCCTCCCCACGCTTTGGCCTCCTGCCACTGGGCTCTTTGCTTCCCACTCACGTGTCCCAGATTCAGCACTCATCCTGAGCCCCACTTGAGCTGGGTGCTGCCTTTGCCCTGGCCCCCCTGAGCCTCAACTGCACCCCACGGCAGGGTCAGAGGTCAGCTCCCAACCCCTCAAGTCTCCAGTCCACCCGTGCTGCTGTCCTGCCCCTTATAGCTGCGCAACTCTCCACCGGGTGCTTGGTTTTCCCAATCCAGTGTCTGAACCCATCCCTGCCTCCAGCAGCCACGCATCCTGAAAACTATAACATCAACAGTCCCTAAATCCCCCTGGGTCTCGGTCACTTTCATCCTGGCCATTGCTCCCAACCCTAACCTAAGCCCTGTCCTTGTCACCTGTCTTGGCTCCCACCACCAGGCCTGGTCCAGGCCAGCTCTGCCCTGCAGAGATGCCCCCAGGCCCTGTGCACCTGCGTGGCCAGAACAGCAGACACCTTGGAGGATGAGGGATTGAACGAGGACACCATCAGAGCTGTCCAGCACCCAGGCGGGGGCTCGGCCTCAGCCCTGCTGAGGGGGCACTCTTTTGGCCATTGCAGCAACCCCAGCCCGTCCCATACCCATATGGTGGAAACAGGGTCTCGGGACCTCTGACCCACCAAAGTCAGGCCTCATAATGCCCCAAGGATTCAGTAGCCCACTGAGGGGCTGGACAGACCCCAGGAGCCTTCTACCCACGGAGCTGCACTAGTCCCAGTGACCAGACTCCAGCACATGAGCCCCGCCCCCAGCCTGGTCTTGATGTGGGGAGGGGCTCCTCGGGGACGGGGTCTCCTCTGTTCTAACTGGGGAAACAGGTGCAGTAGGTGGGAACACCAGGGAGGTCTGTCTGCTAGGGGCCTGTCCTTCAGGCCAGGGAAGCCACTTGCTGTGGCCAGGAGGAGTGGGCAGAGGGGAAGAGGAGGTCCTGGGGCACCTGTCCCCATCCAGAGGGACTGCAGAGGCCCCGCCCCCGCCCCACCCAGCCAGCTCACCTTCATCAGCACAGACTCGCTCAGCTTCTCACGGTTGACGATTTTGATGGCGACTTTCTGGCACGTGACACAGTGGATTCCCAGCTTCACAAGGCCTGCAGGAGAGAGAGGACCAGGCTCAGCCACTCAGGGCTACGCRGCACCCTGCACCTGGCCAGCAGGGACGCACCACTCCCACTGGGGCTCCTCGCTTAGGGTCTGCACCCTGTCCCTCCCTCCCAGAGCACCCGAGCCTGCTGGGCTCCACGGCCACCGTCTGCCCAGGGGTCCCTCGGTTACTGGCAGAACAGCTCTATGGAAAGGTGGCATGCTGCCCCCCAAAGCCCACCCCTCCCTGAGCCTTGGTCACCGTGAGCCCTCATCCATCCCAGTTGGGAGCCCACAGACCTGTGCCTGAGGCCACATCACTCCTGCCCCAGGACACCAGCACAGGCCCAGGCCCACTCCCCAGGCAGCTCCACCCAGCCTCCTGTGGCCCAAGACCCTCCTCCCTGGAGCCCTGGGGACAGGTGCTCAAGCCACCTCCACTCATCATGTCCCTGGAGCCCTGGTCTCCCACCCCACCCCGCCATGTCAACTGCCCCGCTGCCCCCGGCCAGGTATGGTCTTTCCCCAGCTCCCCTAGCCTGTGGGCAGGCTGGCGTGTGCACACGTGTGTGCCGCTTTTCCTGTTTGTAAGAGCCCTTTGTCTCAGGTGGGAAGTCAAGCTTTTGTGTGTCGCATGGTTTGGAAACATTCCCCTGGCCCTGGCCCTGGTCTCAGCTTGTCCTCTGGAGCCCAGATCTTCACCGCCGATCACATCCTGCAGGACAGGCTCTATGCCGGTGAGTCTGGCATCACAGTCCCTGCCTCTGGTAGTGATGGTGGCCCTGCTTTCTGCAGGTCATCAGCTCCCACGGATCCCTGGAAACCCTGCCACCTCCCCTAGCCTGTGTCCCAGGCTGGGCACAGGTGCCTCCTCCAGGCCTGGCCCAGAGGTCCCAAGATAGGCTGACACTTCCCTGGCCAGCCTGCAGGGAGCAGGGCCAGGGGACCCTGGGTGTCTGCGAGCTTCCCTAGGCAAGAGCAGCCGCTGCCCTCCGCGGGGTGTGCTTCGAAGAACGCCAGCCCAGGCCTGGTGCAGGCTCCCGGGGCCTCGCCAGCTGCCTGTGGTTTCCGCTCAGATGGGAGCGCAGAGCCCAGCAGGAACGGCGTCCACAGCTCTGCCCATCCATCGTTCAGAGCCACCTTGGCAAGCGCCGCAGCTGACCCAGGGCGGGCAGTGGCTCCTCCGCACAGCGGTTAGGACAGGGGTGCCCCCACACTGGGAGCTCTCCCCAACAGACACGAGACTCTGCACGTGGCCAGGGTGCAGCAGGTCAAATCAGGCCCAGCAGGTCCCCACATGAGCTGGAGGCCCAGGAGACCCAGGGAGCAGCCAGGAGGTACAAGAGCCCCACACAGGAGAGGCTCCTGCAGTCCGCCAGGCCACACCTCGGAGCACCGCCCAGACAGAGACAAGGCCAGAGGCACTAGGGCCATAAGAAGTGGGAGATGGGCCCAGCTCCCGGAACTTCCTGTCCTGTCAGGCCAAACCCTGAGACCCCAAACACAGAACGCAGCCCTGTGTTCCCCCGATCTAATGAGAGCAGGACCAGTGGGACGGGAGGGGCAGACAGCAGACCGTCCCAGGGCAGGAGGGTGCAGCTCAGGAAGAACGGACGTGAATGTCCCAAAGGGAACGAGTCTTGCCTTCACAGCACAGCAGCCAAGGTCCCAGCAGCCCTGAAGACACAGCGTTACAAACATGATATCAGGGACCACAGGTGGACACTGCTGGCTGATCTCAGGGGAGATGCTGGTCTCAGAGCTCAGGGCCCCATACAGGGACAGCACACATACTGACGCATGCATGTACACACGCATGCATGAACACGTACACACACATACACATACTTGTACCTGCATCACACGTCTGCACCCATGCACACACGTGCACACGCCTACACATGTGCACACACACCCACACGCATGGGCAACCTCAGATGAYGGGGCTACATGATGTGTGTGGGAAACGCGGTCCTGCTTCAGGAAACAGGAAGTGGGCGTGGACGGCAGAGCACCTGACAGCAGCCAAGGACCAAAGTCCCAGAAGTCGGACATAAAAAGGGTGCAGCCACTGTCCCCCCCACCAGTTGTGCCCCCAAGATCTGCTGGGCATGGCCTGGGCTCCACCCCGCCTCCAGGAGGGGAGATTCTGGCATCAAGGGTCCAGCTGGGAGGACCAAGGGCCACCCAAACAAGAGGCTCCTGCCAGGCGCAAGGCCTTCCTCCAGGGCTCCTGTGGGCGGAGGCAGTCCAGCCCAGTGACAACAGGCACAGAAGCCACCACTGCTTGGACACTCCGGCCTGAGGACGCAGCCCCGTGTAGGGAAGCCATGCTGGTGTCCTTGATCCCTGCCTCTCCCTCCGTCTCCACCTCCTTTCGCTAGTTTCCCTCTGACCACAACGTCCTTCCCTACTACTGAGAACTCCTGCCCACTCCGTAAAGCCCAGCAGGCAGGTGCCCCTCCTTGGTGCCCTCGGGAGAGAATCAGCCCCATGTCCTACTCTCCCACAGCCCCAGGGGCCCCGAGGGCTGGGTGTCTGGGTGCCCAGGTGCTCGGCCACCTCCCTGGTGGCAGAGCGGCGATCGTGCCCTCGGGGGCCCTCCAGTCCTCAGGTCCCAGCCCTGCAGCCCCTGGGACTGTGGGCCGGGCAGCTACTGGGGGAAGCCCAGGATCATCCTGAATTGCCCAGCCCTCCCACGCGCTGGGGCTTATTTTCCAATTGTGACTTTATCTCTAATTACTGTCTTTACACACACCAGGCTAGCTCAAGACGAAAGTGCACGTGTCACAGATCATTGCATGGGTGGGACCCAAGCCGAGGAACCTCCAGCTCCCACCGCCGCGTCTGCGGGAGGCAGGGGTAGGGAGGGTGCAGGGCTGCCGGAGCCCACGGCAGTGAAGGGCTGCCGGCATCCTGGGCCCCGGGGCCACAGTGAGGACCTGGGCCCCGTGGGGCTGTCCCACCACAGGCCCCGGGAGCTCCTGACCTCGGGGCAGGTCCTGCCCAGACCCCGTCCTGCTGCTCCTGGGTGTGAGTGGGGTCCCCCCGGCACGTGACAGTGCTGGCAACGGGTTCCTGGAGGGTGGGGAGGCAGTGGACACGTGGGCCCTAGGCTGCGGCACAAGCCACCTGACACCAAGGCACCTGCAGGCCAGAGGACCCATCTCAAAGTGGCCAGCAGGCAGGGGACACAGGGCCTGGGCCCATCCTGTGGCCCTCCTCAGTGAGTCCTGGCCCCTGGCCAGCTGTCCTCACTACATCCCAAGTGGGTCATGAGGCTGCAGGACTCTGGGACCAGCTCGAGGCCACACGCCTCTCATGACATCCCTGTGTCCGACCCCCTGTTGGTCTCCCCACACTGGCCTAAGCATTGGGAGATGGACGCTGGAGAGTACTGTGGCTAGAGATCCATCTGCCCCTCTATCACCACCCTGTCCTCAGGGACTGGGCCTCACAGGAAGACACAGGGTGCAGGCCTTCAATGCCTGTCCCCTGAGATTCATGACACTGCACATAGTGGCCCTTAGGACACAAGCCCGGCTGCTGCCCTCCATGGCCCTGACCTCTGGGGGTCTTGTAGTGATATTTGGGGGTGCCAAGCATGGGCTATACAAAGGAACTTTGTCTTAGCAACTATCTAGATGGCTGTTACCCTAAGCCCTGTCCCCAGGAGCCTGGAGCCAGTAGAAGGAAGAGGTGGCTCCCAGGTGGGCTTCCGGAGGAGCAAGTGGTGGTGGAGACCCTCCCCCTACTTCAGGCCCTACTCTCACGGCATCCCCGTCCCTTGCTGGCCCTCCCCAGCCATGATAGGCCCCCCAGCAGTGGACTCCGCTCTCCAGGGCCTGAGAAGTTGCTAGGTGGAGGGTCAGTGGGCACCCAGCCTCCTCCATGGCCCCTGTTGGTGCACTGCAGCAGGTGCCAGCCCCAGGGTCACTGAGTCACCAGCCTGGAGGGCCACCTGGAGCTGGTATGAGAGAGGGTATGAGTTCAGAGAGTGGCCTGCGGTGGGCCCCTCTGGCCACAGGCCCCGAGAGGGGATGTGGTGGGAGTGAGTGGTGGGCTACAGCATGTTGAGGACCTCCCCTCTCAGTGTGTCTGAGATGCCTCAGCTGCAGGGAGAGGCGGGGCTCTGCCACCAGGACCCACAGGGTGCTGTCCTTGGTGCTGGACCTGGCCCTGGCCCCACAGGAGAGCCTGGTCTCTGGCAGCCCTGGGCAGGCCTTGACTTGGCCCGGCGGGGCCGCTGTGGAGTCAGCGGTCCTTGGGCACAGAGACACAGCAGCAGCCTCCCTGCAGTTCCTGCGGAGTGAGGCTCCTCGCAGGCAGGACGCGTCCGAGTGCCCAGGCCTGAGTCAGCCGACAAGCCAGCCCCGTCAGCCTGCAGAGCCAGGACAGCCCAGGCCCTGCCACCTCAGGAATCAAGTGGATGTCATCCTGAACCGGGCCCTTCAGGTGGCCCAGSTTCTGGGTGGCCGCCGCAGTGCGGTGACCCACTTCCTCAGCCTGCTCTCTGTGGGCAGCAGTTGGTGTGAAGACGCAGCGGCTCCCGTCTGCCTGGGGTGACGATGCGCAGCCTGGCCGGCGTAGCTCTCCACCCAGAGGTCAGCACGATGCTGGCACCTGGAGACTCACCATGCTGACTGCAACCTCGGGCACCGGGAGACAGGTCCGAGGGCGTGTCGGGGACAGACACACGTGGGCACCTGGGAAACTGAGTCCCGCCCAGCAGGGCAGGCACTCTGCCCGGGCTGTGTCGCCCAGGGCGGACGCAGCAGGATCCTGCCAGAGCCCATGGGCCACCGCCCTTGGATGTCCTGATGGAGCTTTGCAGCCCCACCAGAAGGCCAGCTCTGAGCAGCCTCACAGTGGCCTCAGCCAGACACTCAGGCCACAGTCCCAATACACACACCACAACCCCACACCTGGGCAGGGGCCAGAAGTGCTGGTCCACGGGGCCAGCTGGGTCCACGTGGGCTTCCAGGAAAAGCTGACCCTGGAGAGGAGG